ATTACAGAGTGTAAAAGCCAAAACTTGTGTTGCTGTAGTTGTCAGGGGCGCACACACAGACAGGGGCGGAGTGGGAGTAAAAAATCAGCCTGGGACTTTTGACTCAGACTGCCCCACCAAAACCCATCTGCAGACACACCATCACATACGGCTCGTGTCACTCTTCACTGTGATGATTTTTACAACATCTTTACTTCATTGGATCTTTCTGAAATAAAACTCTTGTAGGTCTGAGCTCATCTCACACACACTCCAGACCAGAGTAGAAAGCAAAGCCACACAACATTATCCTGCTAAATGAAGCCAGACTAGATTCCAGTTGTCTTCTGTGTGCCGCTTATGCTGTTGTTTGAACTGGTCTAACTGGGAGCTGTGGTCCTGAACCCACTCTTTGTTTTTCTGAGCTTTTACATTTCTTTAAACTTTGCCATTCATGTAAGGTGAATTAGCAACTCAGTCCACTGCTGGCTGCCTCAGTGTTTAAACAATGAAAAAAAAAATATGGCGGCGCCATAGTTAGCTGTGAAGCCTGCTCTACTGGGCTGATCATCATGACACATGCAGCACTGTCTATCTCCCTCCCTATTGCTTCCTCTCGCTCCTTCCCTCTCTCGCTGCCTGTTTCATATTTTCACATGGAGGCGACAGTATGAAATGAAGGATCATGCTGGTCAGCGTGACTGTTGAGTGGCCAACAATTTCCTGTATCCTGGAGCGTCCCAGCATCAGCACCTTGGGCAGAGATCATGGCACACTGTGCAAAATAACTGATCCTCCTGTAAAGCCACTGACTGTCTGCTGATCTGTTGATAGTCTTGATCCGTTATCACAACTGAACATTATTTAAAATCAGGTTTCAGCTCATCATTGGCTTGAGGTCCAGAGGCCCTGCAGGCAGACAAAAAACCACATTAAAAACACAGAGATACTGTAAGTGGGTCAGTATCATGTTGTAAATGGCACACAGCTTTCCAACTATTTGAAATCGGCTAATTTCTTTTCCTTGTCCGCATGTAAGGCCTGCATAAATATCATTCAACTATGAGTTACAGTAAAAAAAAATCCTTTTGTTCAATATTATTGTGATGGGAAAGAGCCAGACAGGATGATAATAAGAGACAATCCTGTACCTTGCACATGTGTGATTCATCAGGGTAGTGCCACCTGAGGGGCTTGAGCACAATAATATTTTGCAACCACCTTTGGATTCCGAAGAGTTAAAGCTACTATAACCGATATTTTTCATTAACTTTTAATATTCACAAATGTAATTATCACGATTTTGTCTGCATACATCGTCAAGAGAACGTCATTTGTCATTTTAATGCTATAAGTATTTAATAACAATCATAAATAAACAGAATATTCAGTGGCAGGGAAACATGCTCGGTAAGATTCATTTGTGTAAGTCGTTACAGACTCTGTGAGACTGAAGAGCAAAGGGAGAGAGGCTAACCTCACCACACGTGAACGGTATCTAGTGATTTTGGAGAAGCCTTTGCGTGAGTTTACAGCAACCAAAGCCACACAAATTGCAGCTTATGTCTCAGAGCTGGAATGTGGGAAAAAACCAGACATGATAGAGACACGTAATCAACAGAACTACTGTAGCTATATAGTTTATTTGGAAAGTGTTCCCTTCAGTTTTTGTGTAATGTTGCAGCCTTATGCTAAGATCAAACATTTAATTTGTCACCTCATCGATCTGAAATCAATACCTCATCATGACCAAGCGAAAAACAGAATTTGAAATTTTTTTTTTTTGCAAATGTATTAAAAGGAAAAACTGAAATATCACGTTGACAGTGTCTGGATGAAACCGGACACGACAGTTAGATTTGGTTGTCCAAGTATCTTCTGGTAAGATGTAGCTTCTTTCTGTCATTAGCCTCCGACCAAGCAGATATATGTGTTTCGCAAATAGAAGCACAGATGCATCGTGTTTGGAAAAGGAGAATATTGTTTCATTGCCACATTTAGCTCAAATTATACTACCAGACTACCAACTGTAGCATTGGATTCCCACATTGTTTACTGTTTATGATCACTTCATTCAAAATTGATTTATTACCCACATCAGAAATGTGACATCCTGCGTTGATGTTGAATGTAGGCACTCAACTTAAATTGTGTATTGCAGATTCATCCAATATAAATGTCATTCCTATGGATATTGTGCTGGTTACTTACACTGTGCTAATGCCATTATGAAGTCTCTTATAGCACCTACAATATATCTTATTTCTCACCATTCATCTTTCTCATACTGTCTGCTGAGCAGGAACTCCCTTTGTCAAACTGAGGAATGTCCTATCCCTTTGAAGAGGCCCCTTCAGGGTTTCCATCTAGGAAACATAATTTCAGTTAGATGGAAAAGGACTGGTTGCCCAACATGACAGCTAACTAGTTTGCTAGTCTAAAACATATACGGAAACTTCAGCACAGCACCTACTCAACGCTAATCTCTAAACTTAATCTCCGAAAACAAGAACCCCGCTGGTCCTATTCACGTGTTTACTGCCTATGTAACCTGACATCTTCTTATACGAGTGCTTCCTGCTCTTACCCTTTGCCTCCTCAGTCCTCTGTCAGTTTCTAAAAAAAGAGTGTTTCTGTCTAGACTTGAAGTGGTCATTCATCACGCCTGCCTCCACCACTCCTCTCTACTTTGATGTTTCAACAATGCAGAACATCCTCCCTGCTTAAGAGCCAGTCTCTGGTTGCGTAACCCTGTTGTTCCACATGTTCCTGGGCAGCTAGAAAACATTTCCTAGATCCTCCTCCCCATCCATCTTTTTGTACACAGGGTTTTGTGCATGTTTTTCCCATTTTGCTTCATCTTTAAAAATGAACAACTTGCGTTTACAATTTACTGCTGGATATATTCTGCAGCTATTTGTCTTGGTTTCATTGGAGGGGTAACAATTAGTCCTAATTGATTTTTTCTTTTAAAACATTGGAGAATGGATCTATAATGTTTTGGAGTTGGGATGTAAACAAATATGAATGCATTATTCAGAATTAAACAGATAATACACTGAACAGACACAAACAGCAATATAACTTTTGCAGTTATTTTTTCCCTCGTCCCTCCCTCGATTAAAACAATTTGCCACTAATGGCACAGATGACTCAGTCAAATGGAAACACACTCATAAACTCCCACTCTTTACAGTGGTGAAGGCATCTAAAAATCAGGTGATTAACAGTGCATATGGGAGCTGCTAGTAGCCAGAGCAGCGTGGTATTCCATGATGCATTGCAAAATTTGCAACTAAGAAGCTTTTCAAATTTCCAGATTGTATGTCCACCTACACCATTAACAAATACACAGTGCTTCTTTAGATTTCATTTAGATTCAAGAGGGAACAGGTTCAAATGAAAATCATGAGTGATGAAAAATGATGAAAAAAACGTAATTCCTTAACTCAAGGTCCATGTACCAGCAAGATATTTTTTAGCCAAACAGCTGTTTTCAAGGGGAAACATGAGCTTTCTTCCTCAGGTTTTACATTATGCTCCTTGACATGAATTAAACTCTTTGAATGTCTTTGAATTTTTAATTCTACACAGTCTCAGCTTTCTGTTAAACATTGCACAGTTCATTATTAGAATCACTAAAACTACCAATCATTTCTGAGTGGAACAGTTTGTAATGGAAGCAGCTTCTTTCACATCCTCGGTAGGTCAGCAGACTCAGATACTAAGAACAGAGGTGCATTGATATTGCCCCAGTTAGAGGCTAGCTCACTGTGCTCCTCTTCCCCCACTGGTCTGTCCCCAGGCCCACCAACACGCAAGCATGTTTTGGAGTAATAAAAGTACTGTCAGTGTTAATGCACGTCTTTATTCTCGGTGACAGAGAAAGGTTTGTTCACCATACACTGTGCTTAAGAGTACCCATATGTATCCATGAATCTTGATGCTCTAAAGACACGTCTGAGAACGCTTTGTTCTCTTTTCCGGTATGCTATATATCTCATATGAATGCCAGTCAGAAATAGTTACTCTATAGGCTACATGCGATGACGGGATGTGACCAAAGAATATTTTCTGAATGAGGTTGAAAACAGCTTTTAAAGTTATGTGAGTCTAAAGCTCAGGAATTTTGACACTTACCAAAAAAAGAAAAAAAAGAAAATATTTACTTCTGTAGTCAGGGTGTGTTTGCCTTTGATAATGGCCATCAATGATAACCATCCATTGCTGATGGGCAATTGCAGCTATGACTATATAGTAGCCTACACATTCAGTCTCCACTTTCTCCGGGAAGAACGTGCAATTACTAAAATGATTTTTGGAATTGAATATATTGGTCAGTCACAAATGTTTGTGTTTTGCAATCTGGAAAACATAGTGACCAAATGTATAGCTAGTGTGTTGCATCAACAAATAAGGTTAGCCAACAGAATTAGCGGCCTGATGGTTTGCATGAACAGTTTGGCCAGGGATGCATTGAAATTCCTGAGTTATTGTTTCAGGCCGTCCCCGCCTCACTCCCTCTAAGGTTCTAAGCGTTGCTACAATTTTTTTTATTTTTTTTTATCAGTCTGTCCACTTTATGAAACAGCTATTTTACAGACGGGCTGTTTTCCTTTAGTTACTGAATGTGACATAGTGTGAGGCACGGAATTAGAGCTGGTTGCCATTGTGGTTGTTGCCATCTGTAATATGTCTTCTCTGATCTCTGACTGATGGCTGCGGTTTGGTTAGATAACTGATCTTATGATTTGCCTGTTTGATTCGATGTGTAGCTGTCACCTAGCTAAATCACTAATCAGTGAGTTTCCCTCCTCGCTGACTTGTTTTTAGTCTTCTTCTTTCAATTTATTTATTCCCCAGCTGTACTGTATGACGTATTCCGATCATACTGTTTAGGCTGTTAAATAAAATTCTTCAGCTCTAGGAGGAAAACTCTCACTGTGCATGGCTCTTCACTGACTGTCTGGAATTCATAGATGTTTTAACTGTGTATCTGATCAGTGTGTCTCTCCTTACAGATGAGATCATGCAGCAGGAGATCAGGCCCCTCCTGGCTGTAGACATCATAGAGCAGCTTCATCGACAGTTTGCCTTGCTCTCAGGTATGTAACAAAACTCCAACGTCCTGCTGTCCACACCTGAAGCTTAACAACCCAGAGGTTGTGACTCTGTGTATTTAGATGGAAGGAACGTTACATGGCTTAAATAATTGAAATCACATCAACTTCCAAAAATTTAAAGGTAAAATTTAAGAGCTCTCTGTTGTGTGGTTAATTAAATGTGGAGAAAATTCTGGAATATGGTGGTGCTTGTTTTAAATATTAAAAAAAGATTATTTACAGATTTTAAAAGTATAATTTCCACAGAATACGCAACTTTTTTTCAGTTATTGGAAGCATATGCTGACCTGTTCTTCTTGACTGTGGTGAACAAAGTCATCTTGAAACAGAAAATAAAACATTTGAATGAATGTGGTTGTAAAATCCATGAGAAAATGATTTTTTAACCTGATTCTTTTACAAGGTCAGGGTGTTTTTTTTGTGCATATCAGCAAAAAAATTGAAGGAGCAATTTGCCATTCTACTTCTTTAAAGTTGGGAAATCCACATGAGAAAAAAGAATATAAATCCAGCAGTGGCTGACTGAGTTTCCTCCTGTGTGAGTGTAGCTCAAAAACACATTCCCATAATGCATCGCAGCCAATAGCACCCAAGGAAAGACGTCCTGAGGACATCATGTGGTTTATCAGACAAAGCTCCTCCAGAGATACAGAGGACATTACATGACTGTGTTCCCAGGCTGAATGGTGATCCTTTCAGTTGGGTGACGTTTTTGTGTAAAACTGGTTACCCTTGAGTTACCCATGAACCACGCACTATCCACATCTCATCTGTAGTACACAGAACCTGGTCCATATTGAATGTTATGTTATAGTAATAATACCTTATCTTATGTGTCTTATGTTACCCTACTCTTCCTTATTTTGTACAGTAAGGTGCCAATAATTTAATTCTTACCCGCTCTGTGCTTTATGCGTACACATTTAGACATCAAAGTACGCTGGTACAATTTGTTACTGTAACTATTCAAAAAGCTGTAGGTGCCTGTGAGTTCGATTATACACGTGCAGTATTCAAGTCTAACAGCAGGGGGCACTGAGTGTTTTACATCACCACAAGTTTCTGTACATGAAAATGAAAACAAATCTTATATCAATTTTTATTAGATAATTGAATAAAATTCACTTATGGCTATCAGTTTATATAATCACACATTTCATACAATAACATATTAATTATTATTATTATTATTATTATTATTAATCAAGAAGTTTCAAACAGTTGTATGGAAACCTTTCACTGTAAAAAGTTTTGCAACTTCTACAACTTGAGCTGAACATTAACTGCTCCCTGCAAGTCAACAACCAGGGTTCAGCCTCCTTTGAACCGAAGTCACATTGTTCCCCACAAACAGCTGACTATTCCTAAATGTAAATATGCCCCTCCATTAGATTTCTTCTCAAGATAATATGATTGTATTGTTTTATTCATAGCCATTAGCCATTAGCATTCATTTGGAGTCATGGTTCTGGGTCACCTGATGAATTTAAGCCCAATATTAACTCCCGCTTTCAGCTCTGTTGTGGCCGACATCTTTCACATTCATTCGACCCATTGTTCATGTAAAATTATTGATTAGTGCAGCTTTAAATATTTGTAAGGACCAAGTTAAACCAAGGAAATGAAAGCGTGAACTGAATTGTCAGCAGATGTTTCACTGTGAAAGGATTTTCTTTTAGTAATACAATTTGGTGAAGGACAGCGTGGAGGCTTAGCAGTTGGCATTGTCATTGCAACCTGTAGCTCTGCACAGGTTAAGCAAGCGTAGATACTGGATGAATGGACAGAGTACAAGTAATGGCTACCCACATACAGTAAATGCTCTATCATCATAATTCTTAGAACTGAATATTATAATAAATACTCACATTAAAGTTAGTATTCAAATCTAAGCCAAAGCAGGGTGAACACCTGCTGGGTGTTGCTGAGGCCACATGACACACTTCATGTCAGGCACAGACTTTCCATCTTCAGCAAGTTAATTGGATGTGTGTGTGTGTGTGTGTGTGCGCGCGTTGACTGGTGTGACTGTAGGTGATAGAGCAGAGAAAAGAGAATGTGTGAAATGTGTCTCTGTCAGACCAAAAAAAGGAAAACTTTTATGTGTCAAAGTTAAATATATTTCAGTGCTTCACGTCTTGGTCATATCTAGCTATTTCTTTTTAGCTCAAGGTCACCATCTTGTGGATTTTTGTGGAAGAAGTTTTAGCTGGAAACATGGTTGTCTTAAAAATTTTAAGAGTTTTTTACTGGATGTTCCATGACTAAGTTATTTAACTTATGTGTTAAATATTGTTCCTTCTTCCTGGATTTAAATGGTGTTTTTAAAGGAATTAGCATTTAGTCCAGCCTACAGCTGGGCTGAAAGGCAACTAGGGCAATAAAAGACAAGGAAAGAAAAGACAATATATTCATGCCAAAAGAAATTTCACTGATGTTCTCTGACTTCTTGAGATAAATGGTCCAATTTGTTAACTTTCTGGAATACAATACCAAACAATACAATACCATAGATTGTAATCAAGATGAGTATAAAGTAATGTATATCTAGTATAAACATTCAATATAACATCATATAGCGTCAGTGAAGAGCTGGAACAAGCTAATACAAAATATATAGTATATGTGATACTATCAGAGAGAAGGGTGATTTTATGCAAGAAGGATGGATAGTAAATGTTGTGTGTGGTTGTTTTGTGTTGCAGGGGGGCGAGGGAAAGATGGGGCCCCCATCATCACCTTCCCAGAGTACTCAAGCTTCAGCGAAGTGCCAGATGATGACTTCCTCAATGTAGTTACTTACCTGACCAGCATCCCCAGGTACACACACACACTCTCATACACATAAACTTCATTTTCACTGCAGATATCCTCACATAATCAAGTCACGCATTACAGCAGACGTTATGCAGGCATTGTACTCGTGAGATGAAGAGGGAGCTGAGCGGGAAGACAAAGCTTCGGATGTACCGGTCGATCTACGTTCCATCCCTCGCCTGTGGTAGTGACCAAAAAGAAAAATGAGACTGCGAATACAATCAGCTGAAATGAGTTTCCAGGCACATCCAACTGGTAGGAGGCCTCAGGGTAGACCCAGAACGCGCTGGGGAGCCTTATCTCATCTGGTGTGGGAACACCTCAGGGTCCCCCAGGAGGAACTGGAAAACGTTGCCGGGGAGAGGGTAATCTGGACTACCTCGCTTTGCCAACTGCCGCTAGCGCAACCCGACTCCACATAAGCGGCAGTAAATGAATGAATGGATAATAATAACAACAATGATGAACTTAATTTATACTTTACAAAGTGCTTTACAGAGTTGAACCAGGATTAAAACATTTCAGGACTGAGGTAAATAAAATCAGACAAAACGATAAACACAAACCGGGAATAATGAAAGTGCTTTTAGGGCCTTAATCATGTCAGGTGATTTTGGGGAATTTTATTGACACAGCTTACACACAAGCACTAAATATCAGTCCAAAGTAGAAGTCCGGTTAACATCTCCTCTACCTCCTGTCTGCAGTCTGGATGCTGCCAGTATCGGCTTCATTATCATCATCGACAGGCGGAAGGACAAATGGAGCTCAGTGAAGGCCTCTCTATCAAGGATTGCTGTAAGTTCTCTAAGACACCTTGTATTCAAATCACCATATAAATGCATACATGCATATATTATAATATATATAGAATATTAATGCATCTTCAATGTGCACTTGGATGTTAAAAGCAGGTATGAATAAGGCCTTGTCTAGTGAGACTTTACATTATAGAAATAGTTATGCTCTCTGTGAGTCAAAATGGATTTTTCAGCCTATACTGTGAGTCACTGTGGTGATGTATATGCACTCGCAGTTTTAAAATAGAAATGAATCTAGAGCTCTAAGGCTGCAGTTATGTCAGTGACTCTCATTTTATGAGCTGAGAAAAGACAAAAAGTATGATTTATATATTTGGACTTGGGTTGTCTATGACTTCTGAGTCAGCAGTATCAACTAGCTCTCAGACCTGTGGAGCTAAGCTCATAATAAGCTGCTGTAATAATTTGGTCTTTTAATGATTTGATACTGTCTCTGTCACTGTCATCCCAGGATATGGCCTGCTGGTGTTTGTAGCCTAATTAAGGAAAATGACAGAATGAATGAGTGAATGAACTGATGGGATGGCTTAGAGATGTACTTTAAGTTTAAATGCTATTTTGTTATCTAGGGGGCATTTCCAGGAAACCTGCAGCTGGTGTTGGTGCTGAGGCCGTCCAGGCTCTTCCAGAGGGCTATAGCAGACATCGGGATCAAGCTGCACAAGGACGACTTTAAAATGAAGGTACTGATAAGCATACATCAATCTACTACCATCATGCAAACATCAGCTTCAATCACACGGAAATTTTTTTTTATTTTTGCAAGAAAAGGTGGTTAATTAAAGATGTGAGTTTTTTAACCTAAACTTGAACTTTTACTGAACTCATTAGGGCCATCACACTTAGTCTCACCGTTACGTAATGTTGTTTATGACTGAAAGTGTCGTATTGCGTTGGTTGTGTTTGCAGATTGTGATGCTGAACTCTCTGTCGGACCTACATGGCTATGTGGATAAAGGGCAGCTGACCCGGGAGCTTGGAGGAAGCTTGGAGTACTGTCACAGTCAGTGGATACACCACCGAACTGTGAGCAACCATACAGTGATGCGTTGACTTTAGCTGCTGTGATTTGGGAATTTGCAAAATGTAACAGCTGTGAAGACGTCACAGATTTGACTTTTCAGCGACGGTATGGTCAGTTACATTCTAGGACGCTGCAGAGTCACATGTGGATCTTCTTCCCTAGGCCATAGAGAACTTTGCCATGACGGTGAAAACCACAGCCCAGATGTTACAGAAGTTTGGGACAGACCTGGCAGAGACGGAGTTGCCCAATGACGTCCAGTGCACAAAAGACCTGCTCACAGCGCACACCGACAAACACAACAACCTCAAGGTGATGTCGCACATTTAATACACAAACTCACACTAATACAGATATGACATAAATACATAACATAACAAAAAAAATCTGTGGTTGGGCTGAAACAGATTCATAACTGCAGATGTCCAATGGCCAACAATAATAAAAAAAAACTTGCACTGGTTCCCAAATGCAAATCCATACCACTGCATTAACTTGGCACAAGGTGACACGTGGCTCTAAGTCTTCTGCTTGAGTGAGATAAAATAAATGTCAACTGGCTTGAGAGAAATTGAGAGTTACATCAGTGCCCGGTCACACCAGAAAGTGGCACAGAGAGACTCATTTGTAAAACTGGTGCTGGAGGCTTTGCCTATAATTACTTGGGGGATCATGCATTGGCTACCGTTGTTTTTGGCTCAGGTAGTTTGTGGCAAAATGAATAGGAAGAGGAAAGCTTTTTCTCATCGCTTCTTAATTAGCAAAGTAGGGTTATTAAAAGTTTGATGGTATCACACAGCTTTAATTTGGAGTCTGTCTAATTCCCTCTAAGGTCAGCACAAACAAGATAGTGTCTTTTTGATTAATGGGTCAAAGTTTATCAGTGTAAATTTACCTCACTTCTGAAAGCAAGTCCGCGAGTTGCAGCAAATCCACTGAAATACATTTATTTCAGTCTGAAATTATGCCTTTGTAAATGCTGGTGTGATCAGGCCCATACCATGAGGACATGGACACAAATCGCTTTCTTATGTCCCACAGTGCTAACGCTTCAAGAGCACATATAATACAACAGCATTGCTTTAACAGCATGCATGACAAAGGTCAGGTGGTCGACCCTTGCATATACCAGGTATAAATGCAAAGGGCCAGTAAAAAAAAAGTCATTATCTAGATAACATACCGGATACAGATTGCATGTTCCAATGATAGGTAGAAATGGGGCACACACACACACACACACACACACACACACACACACACACACACACACACACACACACACACACACACACACACACACACGTCTGCTATTTTACAGGTGATGCTAATGTCATTTCTAACTCTTCTGTGTCTCCATCACAGGATGAACTAAAGCTAGCTCTAAAGCAGGGCACCACTTTGTTAGGTTGTATCAAGGAGCAGGCAGCTAAGTCAGAGAACCACAAACTCAACCCAGACGAGACGGAGAACCAAACCACTGTGGAAAGGTGACAGCCGGACAATTTCTTATATATATATATATATATATATATATATATATGTATATCATATAATGTTTCTCAGTTCCAAGCAGTCATGGAAAAACTCTCGGAGTGTGTGTAATGAAGTTCCTGTTGTGTGTTTCAGGCTCCTAGCCCAGCTGGATGAGACGGAGAACGCCTTTGAACAGTTCTGGTGTAAACACCATCTGAAACTGGAGCAGTGCCTGCAGCTACGCCACTTTGAACAGGACTTCAGAGAGGTATGTCTGTAGATCTGTCCGTCTCTCTGTCTGCCTAGATGCTTCTGGCTCGCAGCCTTTGGATCTCACATGTGTCTCCTCTTCATACAGCTTCAAAAGACTTCAGCTGTGAGATCATACTTTGAAAAACAAGCTTTACAAAACACTGTCCGGCTGAGCCGGTTTGGAAGTTGTAAATACAGTGACTTCGCTTCACATCCCGTCTGACACCTCTCGTTCTGAAATTGCTGGAAAGTTTTTTTGTTTGGTGTCTTATTGCAGTGTGTTTCATTGAATCTGCATCCTTCATATTTCTGACACCGAACGTGATCATTTCACATGCTTAAGAAATTAACCCTCTCTCAGGGTCCTTTAATGTCAGGAGATGAAACCAGCGAAACGGCCTTAACATGACATCTTGATTCATTAATACAGTATTTATGGAAAGAAGTCATACTTGCTTATTTAAGATAATCAGTGGTGACATTGTTTGATTTAAAATATACTGAGGAGAAGCTGCGTCAGGATATGAGAAAATAAATATTATTGCAGTGTGGATTAAGTGATTTTCTTCATCTTTTCTCAGTCTCTGTCTCTTTCCCATCTTTCTTCCTGCAGGTCAAAGTGTCTCTCGACAGTTTGGGCGACAGTCTAACCAGCTTATCAGTCATCGGGGATTGTCTGGCCAGAGTTGAGCAGCTGCTAACAGAACTGAAAACACTGGAGGAGAAGGCTCAGGTCAGTCACACACACAAAACATTACTTACGGTCAAAGTCAGTTTATTAATGCTTTATAGATCACGAACACGCCATTAATAAGAACATTTGAGTTGTGAGGCTGGAAACAATCCTTTCAGCCGGTGCTTATTCTACTCCAGCGTCACACTTGCAAGATTCATGTATTAGAAAAGACTGTGGACATTTTGTGTGCACAAATGAAATTGCCATAATGTATTCTGAATTGTCATCCTTCCAGCCTACACTAGAAAAGGCCCAGCTCCATGCACTGCACGGTGACCAGCTGATCCAGAGCAACCACTACGCTGTGGACTCTATCCGACCCAAGTGTGTAGAGCTCCGGCGGGTCTGCGATGACTTCAGCAATGAGGCCAAGAAAAAGACTGACGTCTTGTCCAAATCCCTGCAGATACACACGGGCATTGAAAAGGTGAGGACATACTATGACTTCTACGCATCTACAGACGTCACTTTCACAAATACAAGCTAGAGTCCCTGCACTTGGATCATCTATCATTGCATGTGTAGATAAAAAAAAGTCCAAAGACTTTGAATAACTTTTTGACTTAACTCACTGAGGGCTACTGAACCTGTTTTATATCTCCTAAATCACTTAATTGCTTTCATTTCACTGTCTGTGACCTCAAGTCAAATTCTTGCCTTGGTTGTATGCATCCTACCATTAATTACTTTCATTGTCAACCTTGTGATTTAGTTTTTTTTTTTTTTTGTCAGTCCCTCATTATATGAAACAAAACTAAAACCCTACAGTTCTGTGTGGCTGCATTAAGGCACAATGTTGCTTTAAGTTAAAGGCTACAGTCAGCATGCTCAAATGATCACAATGTCAAAATGGTGTTTAACAGTTATATTATTTGCCAAGTTCACCATCTTAGTGTAGCATTTTACCATGCTAACATTTGTTGATATAAATCATGGCTATTGCAATGAGCCAAAATGTTCATATAAATATGTGGCCTCAGTCTTTCTTGAAACTTGTAATGTGACCCCTGATTACAGTTACAGTGTCTAAATGGCAGTTAGAAATATAACTGAATGACTGTGACTGTGAATGACTCTGAGGATTTTATCATCCAGTTGTAGAAGACGAAAAGTAAGGAAGTTAGAAAAGAATATCTTTCCCCCCTCTCCTGTTTATATACCTATTTGTATTTCACTCTGAAGTTCTTATTTCTCATATTCTGCATGTAAGATGTCGTCCTGGGATCATGTAACACCAAACTGCATGAGGAATATGATGTGTCTTTGAAGGTCCCAACTGATCCTAGTGGGCACCTCAACACAGGACCTTTCCACTGAGCCGCCACACGGGAACGGATGGTGTCTGCTCCACTGAAATCAGTTTTAACCTGTTTGAATCTCTGCCGTGTACAGGTAAACCAGTGGTGTGAGTCTGGCATCTACCTGCTGGCATCCCAGGCTGTGGATAAGTGTCAGTCGCAGGAAGGGGCAGAGTCGGCGCTGACCGACATCGAGCGCTTTCTGGAGTCGGCGGAAAAGAACCAACTGACTGAGCTGAGGAACCTCCACAACCAGTATGAGGTTGTCCTGTCTGAGGATATCAAGGTATGGTGCACGAGACATTAGTCTACAGGATGACTGGATATACTGTTACAAAAACCATGAGGACCAGGGTTGATAGTGAGCTCCCTGCCTGCAGGCCAGTGTCCTGAAGGCGTTGAAGCGGCTGGAGGATGTCCAGGAGATGTTTGAAAAGCGGCACGTCAGTCTGAAGAGACTGTCAGCTAAACAGACGAGGCCGGTCCAGCCCGTCGCCCCGCGGCCTGAGTCCTCTCCCAAACGGCCCTCACTGAAGAACCCCTCCAGGACGACAGGGAGCCAGCAGCGTGAGTTGGATTTTTGTTATAACTAATTTATGCAGCAGAATATGAATCTGGTGTAACAGGTTCAAACTATTGAAATCTCCCTGGCTGTGATATGACTGACACCCTGAGCTGCAAACTTTTACAGTATTTTACAGGTTTGTTTTTTTTGTTTTTTTTGAGTGATAATCTGAACTCATCTCGACTTCGTGAGAAATGATTTAAATCATTTATGCTGGGGTCATCTCAATTCATTTCAGCTCTGGCTCGCAGAACTTCTGATAACTCGAACAGTGGCAAGCAGCAGGCCGAAGCTGATCCCAACAAGAGGAAGAACATACGCAAGGCCAAGGGAGGCATCAAGGTACCCTCCTCCAATCCCACTTTGAAATCTCACTGCATCAAAAAATAGTATTTTTTAATGATTTTTAAGATCCTCTTCATCTCGCCTGAAAATGTACAACAGTGTACCAATCTTTAAAATGTGTGGTTAATTAGGCTAAGTATGCACTTTCTTAGTCGCTTAAGTATGAATAAGTGGTACTGCATAACAGACTCAGTAGCTGATACTTAGCAGTACCAAAATATATCGGTCTGTATCATAAAGACACTGGATTTCAGTACCAGGCCGTATAAGAGAGATTAAATGAGATGACATCACTACTCTCAAGACTTGGGAACTAAAGTCTGCGTCTCAAGACTGTTAACAGGAGAAGTAATATCCCGTTTTCCTGAGGTTCTGCTGGTTACCTGGCAACTGCTCACAGCAGTCTAGCACATAACCCCCGCCGTAAAACATCAACTTGTCATTTTTCCTTTACAGTTGTTCCACAGACTAATCAAACAAGATGTAATATTGTAATTAGTGAGCTTTAGAGGTGTTGGTAGGAGCGTTTAGTTGCCTTTGGACGGAGGCATGCTGGGCCCTCCTTTTTCTGGTCTTTGTTCTAAGCTAATCTAACTGGCAGCTGGCTCCAGCTACACATTGAGATGTGAAATTGGTATTGATTCTCTCATCTAAATCTCGGCAGGAGAGAAAATAAGTGCATTTCCCAAAATGTTGACGTAGGGCCTTCTGTCTCAGTGTTCACGTCAGGCTTTATTAAGAGTAACATAACTTACCTGGTGTGGAGCTACAAACACGCAGTCAGTTTCTGTGGAAGGAAACCACATTTCTGGTCACATTTCGATCACTGTCGCGTACACGTACAGACTGTTGTCAATTCTGATTCTTTTTTAAACATAAGCATTTGTGTTTGTCTCAGCTTCACAGATCGCCCAATTCATGGCGTTCAGAGTCACCTTGTTTTGCAATTCGGTGGTGAGGTGGTTTTATCACATGGAAAAGTGACCTAATTGCATATCCTCTATAGAGTGAAGAACAGCGCACTGGAGGTCTCTTATATAAAGGTTAAATTAACAAAACCCTGAAAATTGATCCTGAAAAACAGGGATCATTTTTATGTATCAGTAATGCTTATGATAATACTTTCACACACCATCTGTTAATTTCAAGCAAAAACGGATCATTTAGAGCCAAACTCTTTCCTCAGGAAAGGTCAGAGATCAACTCCAGAACAGCAGCTGGTGGAGATTCAATGTTTTTTCAGCGAGGGTGATCGTGGTTTAGAGTGCCTCTGGTTTAAGGAGGGTCTGGCTAATCATTATGCCACCCTGCTGCCTTCTGCTGCTACGCTGCGGTTTTGCTCTGATCTCATTAATCGGTTTACAGTGTGCACAATTTGAATGCACGCCCAAAGGTTATTTTGTGCTGCTGAAAAACAGGATCTGCCTGTGTAGTGATAGTGTCGGTGTGTTAGACCATAGACCTTCCTCCATAATTGACGAGAGCAGACAACGTTGGAAACCTGCCTGTCAGGTGTCACGTTTCACTGTTCTCTCTCCCGTGTGAACACAGTGCCAAAATCAGAAGCTTACCAAGTAGTTTAACTTCTTGTTGTTAGTTGCATCAACCTCTTTGAACATGCTTTAAAAACCTGTTGAATTACACGTGTTTAAGCCTTCAGTTTAACCCTGCAGGGGTTGTTTGTTTTTTCCATCAAGTACTGGTGAGATTTTCCTTGAAAGGCACAGATTCTCTGGAGTTTCTGTGGGAATACTTGTGCCAAATACCGTCATGTAGTCAGCCGTGGTTAGAAACATAAACTGATTATATTTAAAGCGGCAATAGGCAGGGTTTTTATTGAATATATTTGTATATACAGTATGTATGCATGTGTGTATATATATATATATATATATAGATACATAAAGAGCAGGTCTGTTCTTGACTGGCAGTCAGTCAGCTGGCCTCAGTCCATCTGTGCAGGTGTGTCACTCACTGAAGATCAGATCGAAAGGCAAAACGTCAGTTTGCATTTGAGGCCTGGCAGAGCCTCACCAGGGGAGATACTATTTGTTCTAATGTCTATGGATCATAGACTTCAGACAGAAAAGGAATGAAAAGATTTGACTCCAAATATTAGATAACATGACAAGTTTATCTTAACTGGTCAAATTGTCTTCGGCCCACTAAACTGTACAGCTCTACAAAGGTAAAACACAGCAACTACATATTCGGTGAAGATTAAGTTTTAACCTGCAGACTATGACTTTCTGACATCTGTTTAAATCTTATGCCATAGAAATATACAATTTCTATAAAAACTATCTTTTAAATTTTAACTACAAACGGACCATAAAAACCAAGCCAGAATGCATTATCTGAACTTTGGTTTCTTTCCAACTTCTGTTTGCTGTCAAGCCTGAAAACTTTAAACCCCCTTGTTTCCAACTTGGCTGCTTCTGTAGTTACTGCTTTCTGCCTTTGTGGGGCAGTATAGCTACAAGTAAAAAGTAGAGCTACAATTCATGTGTGTAAAGACCCTCAAATTAAAGAGGAAATATTAACCTCATAGTTATGATTTAATTTAAAGCCAATGTACTGAAGCACAGAGACGTCACAACAAGACAAACAAAAAAGTGTAACTGTGAAAAGATTTTTCTTGCACAGTTTTATCTGGGCATATTACACTTCCCTTAGTGAACCTTAGTGAACTCCACCTGTCACACATGCACCTCATGGTTGTTGGCGCACACAAAAACTCCTGGGTGTTGATGTCAAATGCAAATGAACTAAAGTGCCTCCATGCTGGTACCATGTTATTAATGCAAAGTATGGCTGTTACTGATTCTGCGGTAGAGTGGCAAAAAGAAAATGACAACAGTAGATTTCCATTGCTATCTGATCTGGCCAACAGAGACACATGTGGTGTAACAAACATGTTTAAAATGTGTTATGTTCATATGCTGCTATTTCCCTAATCCACCTTATAACGAGGGTACAGAAAGTCATTACACTAGCCTGTGCAGTGAAGCCTTCACACCCAGGCTGCTGACAGGAACAAAAAGCAGCTTGTAATCTATGCATTCAGCAGTGACTTCACCTTTGGTTCAGTTAAATATTTACCTAGTGACTGATGACCACCTGAAGGCAAACACCATAAACAGCATGTCTTTATGGTGTTTGCATTGTGGTGGTCATTTTCTGACAAAGTTGACAAAGATTGCCTGAATGTACCATTAAACAGCTCTATTGGATCAAAGCTTGAGAAAAAAAGACAAGTTTACGTTTAGTTTTTAGTTTTTGTTGTAATGGTACCTACATTTGCATTTTAAACATAATATACAAAGCCCGTGCGCTGAGAATTAAGTGTATGCTGTATGTATATGTGTTTGTTTGTGTCACAGATTGAGGTGATGCACGAGGAAAGCCAAGGAGGTTCCACCCATGTCGTTGTGACCAATGAGACAGAGGAGAGTTTGTCCAACAGACGCAGGTAAGGACAGAACACGCAGGTGTGGATCACATGCTCACATGCTGTTCTTTGCTTCACTGTAACATCACTATAATGAAAAGATAACACGATTGTGTCACCGTGTCAGAAAACAAGGGATCATGTAGCACTGCAGTGCTAAATTCAATTTCCTGAGAGCATCAGTTATATATCATTTCGTTGTGCATAGTTTTAAGTAAGTGTGCTTTAATATAGCGATTTGTAGCACTTACAACATGTTTATGTGAAGAGCACATTTCAGACAGAGGTGATGATGTAAGAGTTAACATCCAGGAGACAGTGCAAGTGGTGATGTCGGACTCCAGTGTGGAATTTATCCATGTTTAATTTTGCTCTGTGTTGTACAGAGGCAGTCAGATGAGAGCCACCTTAGCATCACAAGTTTTGTATATACAGCTGCTTTGTTTAAAGATCCTCTCCAGACATTTGTTAGGATATATATATATATATATATATGCACAAGCACTCTTATATATATATAAGCACTCTTGCTGGAAGAGTATTTTGTGTCCGGTATTGTTTTGCCATAAAAAATAAAAACTTCAGTTACCTGGTAAAAATTTCTGAAAATTAGATCCACTCCCTCCCTCTTTGAAAAATCCAGAAACTATGAAAGTAGAATTCATTTCAAATCTGTAACTGCCGGACACAACACGTCTCATAATTTTCAGTGTTTGTGCACTGGAGGCTTCAAGTTTCCACATTTTTGTGTAAATTGCATATTGAGTCATGATTTGACTTCAAACTAGATGTGATGTGACAAAATTAAGCTTGTGTGTCCACATGCACACACCATTCTGCACAGTGACGCTCCGACATCCATGTCAAGTAACAATAAGCAAAACACATTTTTGACAGGAGGGGGACTTTACAGTCACACAAATCTGAAATGGTGATTACATTCTTGCAATGATTCCATACCTCCCCTAAATTACTAAAAGAAATTTGTATAACCGCAAATCTTCAATGTTACGACCTGCCGCACATGGAAGAGTGAGAAGTCCTCACATTGGGGCTTCTGTTCGTGAGCTCCTGAGTTATCCAGACTGACCTTCAGACTGCTGTGCAGCAGTAATTCTGATTTCCCAAAACTGAAAGTTCCTTCGATATCTCAACTGGACTGCAAGATTTCCAAGGTTTTATTCATTTGTCGCATGCTCACTATGTGCAGTGACATGCAGCGTGCTATATGATGAGCATCCCATGAAGTGTAATAATTAGAATACAAATCACAATAGTAAGTAAAATGAAATGAAGTAACCTAGCAGCAGGGACTTGTTCATAGGAAAATTCAGACCACGGATAAAAACCGGAGCATCTTATACAACTGGCTGAAAGCCCAGAGAGACAGTAAGAACTGAGGATCCAAAATAAACAGACTGGAGGAAGATAATGGTATTTACATTCAGCCTTGATTGACAATTCAGATAGAATCACCATCTTTGGGTTAGTTGCATTAGTATATAAAATATAGACGGTTAAGTACAGCAGGAGTGGATGGAATAGGGAATATCACATGCTTTTCAGAAGCCACTGAGAACAATACATGGCTTACAGTACTTAAAAGTGCAAGAGTGAAACTCCAGTTTAAAATTAGATGTCATCACATAAGGCCACAGTTGTGCTTTTAGATAATTGCAGGCTTACAAACCACAATGCCCCTTGTCTGAAAGGTTCTTTGTAATGTATTATTAAATGTAATATATTATAAAAATGTATTGATATAGAAAATATACAGAGATTTCTTTTGATAATTTTATTTCCTGGGTAATAGTTAGTGTGTCATCCCACTAAAAATGATCTTGGTAAAAAAGGATTTCATATTTACTCTGAAAAATAAACATGGAAGCGAGAATGAAAATGTATACAAATTACCTGATTTATCAACACACACTGAGCACTGCGTCAGAAGAACCTGCATCTGAATGTATTGTCTGAGAAAAGAAGGTGTAAAATCTGCATCATCGTATCATACATAGATAGATAGATAGGTAGATAAATACTTTATTTATCCCCTAGGGGAAATTCATGTGTCCATTAGTTCATTGTTCATAATATTAAAACAGTTCATAATAAATAAACAATAATAATTAAATTAGTCCACTTCCTTTGGCTGAGGTGTTGTATAGCCTGATGGCAGTGGGAACAAAGGACCTCCTTGGTATTGTCCAAGATTGCCTCCATCTTACATTGCATGCGTCTCTCCACAACAGTCCTGAGTGAGTCCAGACTCCTGCCAAGCACAGACCCAGCCTTTTTCACCAGCTTGTCCAGTCTCTTTGTGTTCATGTCGGACATGCCGCTGCGCCAGCAGACTGCAGCATAAAAAAGATCATTGGACACAGAGAGAGGGAGAGAGGCTACTCAAAACATTGATCCATTCAAATTAAGTACAAATCTTAACAGAATTATGAGAAAATTGTCAAAAAAAATCATATTGCTGTGCATTTCCATCCACTACGGTTATGTAGAATTTAGGAGATAGGTGTATCGACATGTACAGACGAAGGCACTAATTCTCTGGTCGGGTGACATTAAACCATTGCAGAAGAATTGAAAATTGTTTCTCATTCTGCCTTAAGCAACTGCTTTATGCAGGTTGTTGTCCAGCGTGTGCGAGAACACCTGCTCACCTACTGTAGGCTGTAACATTCCCTAGTGTAATATCTCAGTGATTGTCATACCCCTCACCACCTATTACTCATGGGCTGCTCTGCTATAGAAAGATCTTTTTTGCATCTAGTGTAACCTCATGTAGACTGAAGCATTCCCTCCTTATTTCTGTCACAGTACAGCGCTGCTCTGATGAGATGTCACTGACAGAACTATAACCTGTTTTGGGTCTAATACCACTACTGATTAAATTTGTTATTTTTTTGCTTGCTGATTTCAGACAGCAGGACTTTAAGTGCTGCAGGTTGAAATTCTTCTTTATGCTCTCGTATGGCATTTTTGTGAATCAAACCTTTCCCATAAAATGAAGCAGAACAGGTAGACTTAAGTTAGTGTTATACTTTCTCTATCCACAAGTACGTGAGGGTCACATGTAAATTTCGTCATCAGAGAGTGTACTTGAAGCTCTGTGCAGACATCTGTGTAGCCTCCATTTTATAGTGAGTCCACGCCAGTCCCCACAGACAGTACACCTGGGGCACCAACTGTGCATGCACTGGACTAGAAGCTGTCTGCAGCTGTCTGTGTGTGCGTCCGCAAGTGTGTACAATTGAGGCTTTGCATGGCAGTTTTAAGGGAGTTGATTATGCTAATGATCAAATCTCGCCGCAGCACATTTTTTCAGCGGCAGCAGGCAAAATAGATAAATGTAAATAAGCAACTGCTTGCTAACAACTTTGCCATTATCATCTTAATTGGTGATGCTATTTTAATGTCCTGCTCACAACATGTTTCTGCTGCCCCCAAGTGGCAAAAATATGTTATGTTATCTACTGCTATGACAACAGTCTTTTTGGGTTACATCAAAAATCAAGATCAAAATTAACATCTTAAAATATAATTTACTCCCATGCAGAGGCTTATGAAAATTAAAATAAAGCGTTGTCCTCTTGTGATCCATAGTCACTGCCTTTATGTCTGTTTTCCTGTGTTTTTAGTGGAAGAAGTAGAACTATCCAATAATTCAGTTTCATACATAAAAACATTATTTTGAGTAGGTTAAATGTTTTTAACACTTTCCTATCCAGATAATCTTCTTGCTTCCATTAATCTTGCGACCACTTGGACGGTCCCAACCCCTAGTTTGAGAACTGCTGATCTAAAACTTCAAATGAAGATGAGCAAAAAAAAAAGCAAAAGTCCCATGGCCATGGAAAATATTAACAAAGTATACAACAGCACACAAGTAAATTAATTACCTCGCAACCCTGGGTTTTCTCAGTTTTTCTCAATTTTTCTGCATTTTGTCAGTTCTGTACATTGGTAGAGAAATGTATTTATCTGGCATCATTTAGCTCAGAGTTTGGTCAGATGTAGCTTTTCTCCTACTGGCTGGCTGAGTGTCTCAATAGGAAATGTATGATGCACTGTCACCCTCATGAGATTGAGTCATTCACAGCACAACTAAAAACAAATACAAAGTTCAGTGGTCTAAGAATAGACTGGCTAAAGAAGCTTCTGACTTCCCCAAAGAAAATACCAACAATATATGATACAGAACATTTCAAGCTAATTACATCTATTCCTTAAACAGAGTTTTTTATGAACCACATTTATAGAGGCAATGTAAACATGTAAGATTATCTTACCTTTTTAACTACTGTTTAGTGTGTACTCCTTAAAAAAAGTCACATACTGTATGAATGTGAAGTTGATACTGGGATCTTTAAATGGTTTTCACCGATAGCATTATGATGCATTGTGCTTTAAATTGAGATTTGTAGCTTGAGGCTGATAACAAAACTATCATCTATCAAACCACCATAAATGCCTTTACATACAGTAGCAATCATACATTATACAGAATTGTATTCATACTGGAACATTTTCTCATAAATCATCAAGAGAGTTGCATTTAGCTCTTAATGTGACATGTATTCAATTTGCCTGAGTGGCACCAGAATTCATAATATTTAACAGCTAGCGTAGTAGTTATCTTAGACTCTCCAGACAGAGCTGAACCTCTTCAGAAGTTGGCAGATGAATTACAATGTGAAGCACTGTGGATGTGTGTACACAGAGACCAAAAAAACCCTCGTCTCAATAGAACTGGGCACGGGTTTTTACCCATCTGTTCTTTCTTTAGCTTAAACAAAATGAAAACTAATCCTGCTGATGACTGAAGAACAATGAGCATATATGTTTGCTTAACGGAACGGCTTTGCTCTTTATTGCAAGATTGCAAATACATAGATAGCCAGCAAACAGTGAAATAACACAGGACTATTTTTATGAGATACTGTCATTTTTTTGTGTGGTACATTTAGCATGAAGCAGTCTTTGCATCATCTAAAGATCCTTCATGTAAAAGCAGCCATACAGGAGTATGTGTTGTGGTAATATGGCAGACACAGCAGCATCGCTCTCACTGCAGTGCAGTAGAGATTACCCATGGATCCTCTGTAGTTACTGTACACTGCAGGGTCTGTTGCTGTGTGCCATAGTGATCGCACATCTGCGGCATGACCATGCGATGTGATCATGTGATCATAGATGCAGGGGTGGTATGGAGCCTTGGCCTCCCCTGAAAAGTACACATGCTCCTGCGGAGAAACCCCCATGGCCTTGGCACAAATTCCCATGAAGACATCATCGATGTAGATGGAGGAGTTCAGCACCAGAGTCGCGTGGTAGATCTTAGCGGCCACATCACCTGAAACCACGTACCCTGCTCCGGCAGTGTAGTCTGGGTAGGAAGGCCAGGGGTACAGATCATAGGGAACGTGATACTTGCTGTTCTTTCGGCGAACTGGAGGGGCTCCTCTGTGTACATGCCCCACCCACACGTCTTTAGCCCCTGATTGGCTACTCTCGAGCTGCCGCAGGTATTTCACCAAATTGGGCATGTGGACGAAGATGTCATCATCTGCGGACATGAGGAAGCGTGCCTGAGGACAGTATTCGTGGCCCCAGTGGAACTGCAAGATCAGTTTGGCAGTCAGGTTGTGAAAAGAGTCCACAAAGTTCTGCTGGATCAGGTCTCCATAGGCCTGGTCCTCTTGCTGCAGTGCAGTCTGCACTCTGGATCTCCGCTTGACATCATGGTGCATGCCGAGGGCAAACACCACCCTCATGCTTGCCCCCAGTTCTGACCAAATAAAGCTCTCGTTTCCCCATGTGTCCCTGATGGCCTGGCGCCGCTCAAAGTTCTCGGGCGATGATTTCACAAACAGAAGCAGGAGGACATCATCCCAGCTTTTTCCATCTCCACCACTACCTCCACATTTACCTGGGTGGTTAATTAGGTATGAATAGTTCCATAACCGATCACCCACACTGTCAGAACCATCTTTTCTGTGGTGATGTTTGGAAGTGATGTTGAAGGAAGAATTGAGGAAGTCATATCTGTTGACCAGGTAGCGATATGTATAGGATCTCATGTGGCTGACCACGTGGTGGTCCAGCTCCTCCCAACACACCATCACCATACACAGCACCAGGCCTGTGGTCAGAAGCTGCACGCACTGGCACTTGCGGATACGACGGAAGTTCATGAACATCGCGACTGAAGACTGATTGCTGACTGGACTTCTGCTCTCCTGGAGCTGTATCTCCCCCTGTCTTATGTTCTTTTTCTAATAGTAGAGTATGTTATTTCATCTCTGCCTCTTTTCACTCTCAAGTGTGACTTCTCATTCGACTCTCAATCTCACTTCTCACCTTTCAGTCTCTAGCGCACCTCTCATCTATCTAATTGTCTTCCTTCTCATCCTTCACTTTATCTTATTATGTCTTTCTCACCTCATACATATCCTCTGTCTTTCCTCCCTCTCCTGTCCTTGCAGCTGGCTTCTTTTTTTGATGCTGTCAAGTCCTGTAGTCAGTGAACTTGCTCCACTGTCTGATGCAAAAGCTCTGCTCCCTCATAGCAAGCAGATAACCCACATCCTTTTTCTTCTTCCTGTCCTGAGATGTCAGAGAGAGTTTCACCCCTCTCCTCCACTTACTTGTTGCTCCTCCTCTCTGGTTATTGTAATGTCAGCATGCTAAAGGAATCCCATGGCACCTGAAAAAGAAAAGAAAAACGATCAAGGTCACTCTCAGATAGATGAGATTTTGCATGCTTGGGCTATACATGGAGGAGGGAGTACACTAGCCCTGAGATGATTTGTTGATTCATTTATCAAATGAATTGCAAAGTAATTGTTCAAGTTATTCAGCTCATAAAAAATATTTTCCAGTTTTTCTAGCTCTTTTCCAGCTTTTCCCTTGTGTTGTATCAGTGTAAATGAAACATCTTTGTGTTTCAACCTGTTGGTCAGACAAGATGTGTGAAGATGTGCGCTTGGGATTGGGGAAGAAATGTCAGGGAATATTTTTTCAGTCGACTAAGCAATCTATTAACTCCATTAACATAACATTCATGTACAATTTTCCTAGTTTAGAAACCAACTACCTTTTCTATATGACATCCAGGGTATAAGTGGCTCGGAGGTTTAAGACACAAACTACAAAAGCACATTGTTGCTAGAGCAAATCTGTCCAGAGATCTATGTTGCAGCATCACTCTTTCCCTCTTTCTCCTGGTGTTTCTTCTTGACTCTACCTTGAACTTATCAAGTTAACAAAATGCAAAAAAATCTCATCTCTGGCTTTGGGTGAGAAAAAAGGAAGACTTTGTACTGCCTGGACTTACAAAGACCCTAATATTCATTTTAAAGGGTATNCACACACACACACACACACACACACACACAAATCCTGGATGTAGTTATCTTTGTTATCTTCTCTATTCATTGTTCACAGAGCAAGAGAATATTTTTCTATATGACATCCAGGGTATAAGTGGCTCGGAGGTTTAAGACACAAACTACAAAAACACACCTTGAATAAATGTACTACTGTACTTGTACTATTCTGGTGTGTTTTGCAACGATGTGAGTGACCACTGTTGTGTTCGATCTAACTTCTCCATTAAGCAGCCTGTTTGCATCAGTTATAAATAAATTCTAAAAAATTTCAACACTCAAGCCTTCTTGCATGATCTGTCCAAGGTTGAATGGTTCAGAGTCAACCTGATCTGTTTTACGATCTGTTTTACGATCTGTTTAGTGCTGTAGTTAACAAGCTTGCCCCTGTCAAGAAAATGAGAACAAAAAAAATGCCTCTGTCCCTGGTTTGACCGTGTGATTGCAGTGCTCACTCAACGGAACAACTCTGCCTGGCGTAAGGTGCGGCTGTCTAGATCCCCTGCAGACCGGCTGGTGTTTAGGCAAATTAAAAACAAGGTAACACAAGCTGTTCGAAAGACCAAAGCTGGTTACTACAAAGAACAATTCAATCTTTGTGGCTGTGATCCAAAGAGATTCTGGAAAACTGTGAGAGATCTGGAAAATAAACCCTCTTCTCAGCTGCCTTTGTTGCTCAATGTGGGCGATAATATACAGTAGTTTCCGACAAATAACGGATGGCGAACATTTTTAATCAACATTTCATAAAGTCTGGATCTACTTACGAGTCTGATAACCCCTTCTGTGGGCCCCCCTCTCCAAATCCACCTGTAGATTCTTATACTACTCCATCGAGGCCCTTCACCCCCCTACATAGACTCACCTTACAGGCTGTCTCGGAGGATGAAGTCCTGAATGAGCTGCTTTGGCTGGACCCTTATTTTTTTAAGATTGCAGCCCCAATCCTTGCAAGTCCCATTGCTGATATATTTAATCTGTCTCTCCATTCATGTTCATAGCCTGGCCAGCATTGGGGTCTCTCATCATTCACTGGCTTGGTTTTTTAACTACCTCACAGATAAGGTGCAATATGTAAAGTCAGAACAGTTCCTTTCTCAGCCTCCAGTTACTAAGGGTGTCCCTCAGCTCTCGATTCTTGGCCCTACCCTTTTTTTGATATATATTAATGATATTGTTTGCTCTGTTGAAGATGCATCTATCCACCTTTACGCAGATGATACAGTCCCTTATGCAGTTGGTCCCTCCCCAGATGCAGTACTCATATCACTCCAGGACAGCTTCCACAGGGTCCAACAGGCTTTCTCCAACTTAAACCTCCAGCTTAACACTTCCAAGACTAAGGTCATGTGTTTGGTTAGGAAGCGTTCGGTGCCCCCCTCCACCACTGAATATTACTACTACTCTTGGTGGGGCTGTTCTAGACCAAGTTACTGAATATAAATACTTGGGTATCTGTCTAGACAGCAATCTGTCTTTCTCACATCACATTAACAGGTTACAGTCTAAAGTCAAATTAAAATTAGGCTTTTCATACAGAATGCCCCCTTTTCCTCAAGAGGCTCTTGCCTTTTGCCAGGCTGCCATTGTAAATAAGAATTTGTTTTTAATGTCTTGCCTGGCTAAATAAAGGTAAAAAAACCCCCCAAAAACACACATTTTAGGATTTGTGGATAGCACTACTGTGTCCACTCGTCTCAGCTGGGCAACATAATGCAAACAGCCATCACCTATTTAAAGAGGCTACTCCAGTCTATAAGTATTGTGTCGTCCCAAATAAAGTAGCTTTATGGAGTGGAGCTTTAAATTGGCCAGATTATCCTCTCACATGGCAACTGTGTTAGCAAATCAAGGACTCCAAAGGATGGAGGAAGCATTTGTGAGATTTGTAGTTTGAGGCTGATAACAAAACTATATTGTCTAGCAAACCTCCATAACTGCCTTTACATAAAGTAGCAATCATACATTATACAGACGTGTATTCATATTTGAACAAACTCACATTAATCATCTAGAGTTGCATTTAGCTCTTAATGTGACATGTATTCAGAGCATGAAATTAACTTTGTCAATTGCCTGAGTGGCACCAGAATTCATAATATTTAACAGCTAGTGTAGTAGTTATCTTAGACTCTCCAGGGAGAGCTGAACCTCTTCAGAAGTTGGCAGGTGAATAAAAATGTGAAGCACAGTGTATGTGTGTGTGCACAGAGACTCGCATGTTGGCAGAACTGGGGACGGGTTTTACCTATCTTTTTTCTCCTTAGCTTAAACAAAGTGAAAACCGATCCTGCTGATGACTGAAGAACAACTAAGCATATGTGTTTGCTTAACAGGACGGCTTTGACCTTTATGACAATATAACAAATACATAGTATAGCCAGCAAACAGTGAAATATAACATGAAAGAGAAAAATATGGCTGTTTATGTGAGGTCATTTTTTGTGTTGTACATTTAGCATGACACAGTCCTTACATCATCTAAAGACTACTCCTTGCTGAACACCATACTAACTTCAGGTCTAGCAGTACAGTTGAAAGTAAAAGAGTTTCCCATCACACAGACTTGTGAAAGACTAACTGAGACCTTCACATCACACATTCAGAAAGAAAATTTAGACAAAAATGTGGTCAGTGATCAGTGGTCAGTCAGTCAGATAGCAACTAGTCTCCAACAAACTAAAAATAATCATAAACTACACTGTTAAGGGGTCAAGCTCTGTTCAGGTGAATCCTCTAGCACTAACAGTGCTAAACAGAGCATATTGTTTTATCAGCTGTGTCACTTGCATGTGACTGTTCATACAGTGCTAGTGATGGGCGTCCTGTTCGCCGTCTGTTGAATGTGCTATGAATTTCCTTTGTAATCTTTGAGTCTAATGTTTAACCTTCCTTACTACAATTGTTGGTCAGAATATTAGAAACAACTCCTATACGAAGATAGTGAAGGGTCAGGTGTATTGAACTCCTACCCATTCCAGTCCGGGTGCTCAGTTCAGTTGTAGTTTTCTGGCCTGATTAGTTATGCAGGAAAGTTTTTGTGTGTTTGGTGTTGAGAGCCTTGTACCAGGCTGAAATATTGAAATTCAAATTTCATACAGCTTAATTATAACTTGCATAATTAACAGTGCCTTAACAAGCTGTAAGACTGAAAGGTTTGTCAACAACTTTCATTGGCAAATTTACTCGACTGTAGCTAATTCATTCTGTGAGTTGGCCTTATAACAAAACTGAAACTCTTGGTTGTTCTGTGGTTAATATACTTACAGAAACATCACTCTGTAAACTTTTGAAGTCTGAAGACATGGGAAATGGGCTGTGTTTGTGCCTGTCAATAGTAGAAGTTGGCTTGTTAGTTACCGAGATAAATGACAGTCAGCTGATGGATGTCAAAATCTCCCGTTTTGAAGCTTATGTGCTATGTTTTGTTATGATGATCGGCCCACTGGAGCAGGCTGCGTGGCCCACTGTGGTTCAGGTCATCTGTCACCCACCTGCTTGCCATTTACTGTATGTGTTTGTATCTTTATTATTTACTTTACTTTACTTGAATACTTTACTTGTATACTTTATATGAACAACAAAGTAAAAAAATAAAAGTAGAGATTGGGCAAAAAAGGTCAGAGACAAGATATTCAAACCCAGAAAAATCCAAATGCTTCAAATAGTTGTGCATCAAGCAGCAGTAACTGTGCAGGCGACAGACGGGGGGAGCAGAACAGCAGAGTGGGTTCAGGACCACAGCTCCCAGTGAGACCAGTTCAAACACCAACATAAGCAGCAGGCAGAAGAAGACTGGAATCTAGTCTGGCTTTATTTTGGCAGGATAATGTTGTGTAGCTTTGTTTTCCACTCCGGTTTCATCAGAAACTGTAATACACTAATTAAAGGGCTCAACGCCTGTGTGATTCATTCAGACCTACATATTTTTATTACAGAAAAATTGAATGATGTAAGAAAAACCACTAAAATTCAAATGTCTGCTGCCATATTTACTGTTGTACCATCCAATTTGAATTCTTATCTCTACCTCTGTACAAAGTTGTAGTCATGGATTTATCGTTATCTTTCATTTATAAAAAATTCACCTAACACCATTGAATAATGTCAAGAATTTCATTAGATGAATAACATAATAAATGCGGTCTAAACTGGTCCATTTTTTGGAAAGGGTGTTAGACAAATATACTTTAAATTTAAATGATAATCTACTGTGACTTTTCTGTGATGAAGTTGTTTATGAAAAATTACCCTGGGAGGACGTCAACAACTTTCACCTGCAAGTGTAATGTGTAATTATGTTTGATGTAAAGATATC